GGAATAAAATTATTTGATTTTTGAATGGCTCTTATCAAATGGTAATTTAGCTCTATTTGTGTATTTAGCTCAATGCTTAGTACAGTAAAATCTCTCAAATATCTCACCATATCGGAAAACCAACCAAATCAGAAATATTTACAACAAATTGAAAACCAATTCAACGTACCGAACGTATTACTGATCGTAACATATATAGAATAAGACGACCAACGGAACTAAACTAGTGCTTTGACATCGCTTCTTCTTTTTCCACCCATTCCAACTAATGAAGATCACTTGAACATTGAATTGTACTAGTTTTGAAGTCTAAATAAATATTGCCAATTCTTTTTAATTTATTTGTTTTTGTTCTAGTTACGAATCTAAATATTCGCGTATGCATCCTCCTCGGTGGATTTCATTAGATTTTTTTCTGGTAATTTTTTGGTCAATCGGAAGATCTTTCTAATTTTAAATTGAGATTCATCATTGCATTAAAGTTGTCACATCTTGCGACAAGCATACGGCACTAGCTTACTACAATTGGCCAGTGACTATGAAAATTATAATTAAAATTGATGCTGACGTTAAAACACCGTCTTTTATTCTCATTATTATAACAAATCCACTACAACTTGATTAATATTATTATAGAGAATTATAAAATAAAATAAACAACCAGCCGGTGTATTTTTACCCGTTTGATGATGAAATCGTTAAATTTGACATGTCAATCAAAACTCGAAAAATTGGAGCAAATAAAAGAAATAAAACGGCCAACAAAGCAACATGGAAACGAAAACGTTGACACTTGTAATAATTGTTTCGTAATAATTTCTTTCTATGCTGTGCCATTTTTGTATTTATTTTGATTGAAAACAGATCATATTGATAAGCATATTTGTTTATTATAGATTATAATCAGAGCATTTCATATTACACACAAAAAAATCGCAGTATTTATAGGAAAAATGAGCTTTTAAAGAGAAGTTATGGTTATGGTAGCTATAATCACTGTATTGTTGTATGAATAAGTATAAGAGAGAGACATTATTGCTGTAAATAGATATTTGTCCAATTGAACCACTATTCATCAATATTCTTCAATTTTTATTACATATAAAACGCAATAAAATTCTGCTATTTCCAATTTAAAATTGACTGAACTTTTGTTTCGCTAAAAATATCTCCTTCGAAAACAAAAAACTTGGCCTAGAATCCTCGTAGAGATGCATTAGCTCCTTCTTGTTCCAGCATTTTGACGACTTGTGAAAAGTTCACTTTCATTGGTAGAGATGGAAAATGCCGTCTAAATCCAAACGGTTGCAGTCTATACGCGAGGAAATACATCGTGTATTGATATTTAGTTAAGATGTAATGAAAACTAATCGTATAATTTGAGCAGCAATCCAGTCCTTCATCGCTCCAATAGTACTTCGTTGTCCAGTGTCCATTCTTGGGATCCGGTTTGCCGAATAAATGTGCCTCTGGCTTATATGGAAAAAATCGGCCTCGGTTTAATAAATCTCTTGAATCGCCGGGGTATACATTGTAATAATCGAGACAAACGCTTATGTCCTCATCCTCATTACGTGCATCGGTTTTGAGATTACAACCGGGTTCTCCTTCTGATTTTCGATAAAATTCTTTGTTAGTTAGAACCTTTTCGACAAACGTTCGAACAGTTTGTCTGCTCAACACATAACCAGCCCCTCCACTGAAGAAGCCTCTCTTATGCATTGATGAGTTTTTTTTGTATCCAAAATAAATTGGGTCGTCAGTTGAATAGGCTGATAGCATGTAACGTAAGTTTTCAGGAATCAAAAATGTGTCGTCATCGCCTTTGAAGAACCAATCGTAATCGTTGAGAAAATTCTTATGAATATGCTGCATTATCAATTTAACCTTTCCCCAAATGTAGTCATGCCCTTCCGTCACATTGAATCCAATCGCACCGATATTTCCATCAGTTACGTATGAACCAAAAAATAACAATTTATCACAATGTTTGCCCCATGTTTGCATAATGTGAACCGCTCGCGTCGAATAACTCTTCGACATGGTGCTCAAAAAACACAAAATTCGTATCTTCTTTACATCTTCTACTACGCTTGTTTGCGTCAAATCGGATGGCGGTGCCTTTCTTAGATCTACTTCAAACTCGTTAGATTTGTTGAGATCGATGAAAAATCCAATTCCAAACCCAATTAGGAACCAAAAAAATGTTATTTTCGAGTTCATCTTTCAAGTGTATTACTTCAATATTGCACAGTTTGGGATGATGATGACGATGGAAATGTCTGCGATCATTTCAGCGGTCTAATTCATACTGAATTATACCGTTGAAACAGGACATATTTATATTTTTTGCTGAAATTTTGCCTGAACTCTTAAAAGCTGAATAAAAAAATCATACGAGAATTGAGCGGCAATGGTTCTCGCATATATTTATTTAACTGTGTTTACTTGAATATATTTTGAATGGAATCACTCAGTGGATCAACGTCACTCGTAAGTGCGTTCATAGCAACTAGATATTTTTGTTCAAGGAAACTCACCAAAAGCGAACGAGTACAAAAAATGGCAAACATTTTATAAAGTGAAGTGAGTCATCGCGGTTCATCGCATTTATTGGATTTGATCAGAAATACCGAATTGGTGTCTTCGGTAAAGCTGTTGTGCTTTAGGTTCTCTATAACTATACTGTAGACGTTACATGAAATACATACAACACATTGTACAATAAAGAATTCTATTGAGACTATATTTTCTGTTGATTCTGTTTGCGTTAAAAGAGAATGTGTTTATTTGCCTAGAGTTGTTGCAGTTTTTTTTATGAACCACGCTTGCTATAAATAATTTAAAAGTTTATAACTTTGTAGAGTGAAGAGAGTTTTATCGAAAAAGATGCAGCGAATGGAGATGATGTGTGTACGATCTAGTTTTTTCCACCATTCGTTGATACTGTAATATGAACGAGGTGTAAATGTTGAGTATGTTTAATTGCCTTTATTAGTTTGAACATCTCGCCAAAAGCCCTTGATACAAATGTCCTTTCCATGTTGCCATTCATTCATATTGCTATACCAGCGTGGAGTTGAGAAGATGTAGTCATCATGTAACATGGCGCACAATCGACAAAAAAAGTGTGGCCCTGTCTGCGCTTTCCAAAATAGTCCTTTTCCAACAAACTCACCTGTTCCTCTCCATTTGAAATACGAGTTATATAAATTATCGTTTCGGTCCAAAATGTGCAGATATTCGGCGAGTTCCTTTGGCGATTCAAAGTCTTCGACATGAATGTACGACCGATGAGGCGCATATTTTTCATACGTGCTGCGTGGTGCTCCCATCACAATTGGTAAGACATTACGCCGTAGCCCAGTGTCGAAGAACTTTTCGGTGATGTAGTCTTTGCAGTTTGAATTTTCAAATGACAAATAAAATTTGTAATCCTCATCAAGCATATCGAAACATTTTTCACTGTCCTTGCAAGTACACGTCAAATTTCCACATTTACCGTAAATGTCGACCTGGCATTTAAAAAAAAAAGTCCTTTTGATTGAATTCTCGACTCTTTCAAACTATACTAAAAACTGGTTTATATTTGATCGAACCTGAATGTGCTTTTGAAGCTCTTTAGCATATTCTAGACGACCATTCCTAGCACCTCCACAGTTGGAAACAAACCAGGCAACTTTTTTCGTTTTATTCGCCGCATGGTTTTGATCTTGTTCTTTTTGTTTTATCCTCGGATCGTAATACAGCCATTTATTATACGGAGCGACAATTGTACTGTCATACCTTTAAAGAACAAAGTCAATAAAATCTGCTAATGATGCGAAAAAGTATGCAATAAATATAACAAAACCAAGTAATTACCTGTATGAAATGGTCCAATTGATGACATCTGACAAGAACGATTTCAAAACCAAGTTTTTATAAGAAATTATTTTGTTGTATATGCGAAACAAATTTCTGACAAAAACTCATTTTACCTGGACGATCCAAACTATTCGTGAACACAGGTGGTTCCGTATAATACATCGCATACAGTTGTTTTGGTGGGCGCCTTTCATTTGAAGGAGTGAAGTCGTTGTAAAATATAACTAAATCAGCGTTTTTTCTCTCTTTGGGGTCATCTGTTATTCTGCACGCGTCGACAGGACACTTTGAATCTACAAATGCACTTTCACCACTTTTGCGTCTCCACCAGTCTGGTATGCGTAGCATATAGATCGTTTTCATTACCACCTTCCTACGAGACGGATCGTAATTCGGGGGAATGAACATCATTTGATTCACAATACGATCATTTCCTGGATCTTCGTCGGGTAACAATTTTGCATCTCGTATGCCTGTCTCATTGGAAATGGATGCTGGCTTTGGATAACGTGTGCCATTTGTAAAATACCACGGTTTGGGCTTAACGGCTATCAAAAAACTGGTCGAATCGTAATCGTAATGCCCAGAAATATATTCTTGCTTTTCATTGGACACACTTCGGGAAATATTCTGTGAAACTTTTTCGCAATTCCTAAAAAGATCATCAGCATGATAAAGAATATTATGTTCCAAATGTAAAAATATTCAATAATTACCATATTAAAATCCCGATCGTTGCTAATAATATGAACGTAACAGCAAATGCACCAAGATTTTTCACTGAATAGTGTTTGCTGAGTAGTGAATAATTGATAGCGCGCATCACGAAAGCCTTTGGTTGAATAAAACTACCACTCATTTCACATCCAACTAGTATATTAGATAGTTTCTAGACGATGATTCGTTAACTATTAAAAAAAAATTAGAACAACTAAATTTCATCTTAGCGGATATGAATGCGTAGACTGGGGTTTATCCACTATAAACAAAAATGGCACAGAATGGAAAGAAACTATTGTGAAACGATTATTACAAGGGTCGCCGTTTTTGTTTTTATGTTGCTTTGCTGACTGTTACATTTCGTTTCTTTAGTTTTGATTGACATGTCAAATTTAACGATTTTATCACCAAAAAGGCGAAACAAGGCCGCCAGATGCGACACTGTTGAAGCAAAATAAACATAAATAAGTAAAAAGACTGTTATTAGTTTGAATGAAACATACTTCCCTTTATTGCTGCGGAGTTAGACAAACTTATGCTCTTTGCGTCTCACACAAATAAAAATACACTATAATTTGATATCAATAGTTATTGCAAAACTAGTTACATTTACATATTCTATAGAATTCCGAAATAAAATAAATAACCAGACGGTGGTTTTTTCGCCTATTTGATGATGAAATCGTTAAATTTGACATTTAACAAGTTGAATAACTCTTCGACATGGTGCTCCAATAACACAAAATTCGTATCTTTTTTGCATCTTCAACTATACTTGTTTGCGTCAGATCGGGTGGCGGTGCCTTTCTTAAATCTACTTTAAACTCGTTAGATTTGTTGAGACCGATGAAAAATCCAATTCCAAACCCAATAAGAAACCAATAAAATGTTATTTTCGAGTTCATCTTTCAAGTGTATTACTTCAGTAGTAGTGCAACGTTTGGGAAGATGGTTATGATGGAAATGTCTGCGATTATTTCAGCGGTCTAATTTGTACTGAATTATACCGTTCAAATCGAATATATTTATATTTATTGCAAAAATGTTGCATGATCTCTTAAATGCTGAACAAATAAATGAGATGAATTCGGGTTTTCTATAAAATAGCAGCTTACGCGAATGCAGATATACGAAAGTTTAACGGCAATGTCTTTCGCATATATTTATTTAACTGGGTTCAATTAAATATATTTGGAATGCATCATCGTCAATCTTACATAGCGAATGAAGAGAAGATGGGAAAATTTACACCCAAAATAACATTTGAATTGAAAAATTGACAAATATGAATATCAGGCAAATGATTGGGATGTTGTGGGAAGGGAGTCGGAAACGTGTGGTCAGAAAATGAAAAGCGCTTAAATTCATCGAAAGCTACAAGAGGGAAAGTTCCATTCAATATCTGCATGAAATGATTATATCGTTCATCGCTTCAGAATTGACGTTCCAGTAATCATTACATACATAGTCAACGGCCACCTGGATCCTTTTCGGGAAAACTCTCATCACTTCACGCAAAGCATAGAATAGAAACATGGTTCAAAGCAAAAGAAGATTTCGTCAGTGTTGTTGATTTATTCTAAACCTTATCTAACAAACTGTGCGTTATATTAAATGAACACCACTATTACTATCAAACTTGATTTAGTTTAGTTATCGGCCGCCATTCTTCACAGTACGAAAATCTGCGAATAAAAAAATACGATATTTGCAGATGTACAGATTTGAGGTATATGTTATTACAGATGGGCTTAATTAATCTTAATCAAACACCCAAAATTCACGACGATTAATACGACCACTTAATCACATAATCGCTATTAATCATGATTAAGTGATTGTGCAATTGATTAATTAAACATCGATGATGATTGTCTTAATCACGATGTCGCCGTGATTAACTGTGACAACTTAATCATGATTAGGTAAATAGTTAATCATGATTAAGATGTGATTAACGAAATGATTGTGTAGATTTAATTAAACATTAGACGTCATAAATGCAGAAATGTTGAAAATGATTTCCATTTTCCACAATCATTTCGTTAATCACATCTTAATCATGATTAACTATTTACACAATCACGATTAAGAATTTACTTAATCATGATTAACTATTTACTTAATCATGATTAAGTTGTCACAGTTAATCACGGCGAATTCGTGATTAAGACAACAACTTAATCATCATCGATGATTAATTAATCAATTACACAATCACTTAATCATGATTAAGTGATTAAGTGATTAAGTGCCATCTTAATCACCCGAAAAATGATTGTGCAAGTGATTAAGTAATCGCAAAACGCCCACCTGTATATGTTATTTACAGTAACGAGCCTGCACTTACATACAGTTCCTGTAAATAAAAAAATATTATTATTTACATATATCTCGAATCTGTACATCTGCAAATATCGTATTTTTTTATTCGCAGATTTTCGTACTGTGAAGAATGCCGGCCTTTCTGTTGTCTTAAAAGGAAAACAATCAATTCTAAATTTATCCATATAGAATAACTGTATTGACTTTTACTTTTCCGCACAAACATGTTTTATAGGAAAAGTATTGGTTTCACTAGCCAAAATTTCATGACAAGTTCTCTTTCCGACCACTATAAAGTCAGGTCAAATTGCTTTTAGCACATAACTAGGCTATGTAGATGAGAACAAATCCTATCGATCACAAACATGTATTTTAAGATTGCTGAATGTGTTGTTGCTGCGTGCAGCCACATCAACTGAACACACTTCGGTCGAGTCGTTGCGGCTGCACGTAGCAACACACGCCACTGTATTATACAGTATGCGTCGTCGATATGCTCGGATATATCCGTGCCTTACGAAATGCTGAGATGCTCAGCAATCTTGAAACACATGTTTGATCGATCAAGACCTATCGGCCCTCGAAATGATTCGCAGACATTTTCATCAACTCTGCACTATTGAAATTGGATGCGAAAGTAATATTTCACTGGTTTCTAATTGGGATCAGAATTGGATTTTTCATCTCTATTCTAACAGTTGGGGATCCAGATTTATTCACACAAATCGCGGCTATGAAATCCATACTGACAACAACATTCGACCTGCCTCTAGTGGTCATACACACAACATACGTTGAGCGGTCAATATATACATACAATACAGACACGCTAGCATAGGATTTATACGGTTTGCGCGAATGGCTATCGGCCATGCATACGCTTATGTGATTGAAATCTTCAACAATCACCACAAGCGTCGTGTCAGAAGAGCTCGTCTTGTGTTTACATTGGAAATACGTTTTATTGTTGTTGTAGCTTCATCACCGTGCTCCAAATATAAAAAAAAAATTTAAGTTGGATGAAATAAATTTAAGGAATTGACCAGAATTGATGACGAGAATTGATTTGATGCAAAAAGATCCTATTGTTGTGTTTCTCACACACGATGCCAAAGACCCATTCGTCACGAGCGGTTCATGTCCAACAGACGAGGAGCAAGCATTCTCACTGGGAAATAATATTGTGGACTATACGAGAACTACTGGTAACTTGACTGATTACCACCATTACTATGACAGGCATAGTATGTGTTTGCATTGTATTTACTATGCTGTGCAATATTACTATGTCACAAAGTAGTATTGGTGGTAATTTAGCGCGGCAAAGTAAATACAATGCAAAAACATACTATGCCTGTCATAGTACCGATAGATGTAGCACAAATCGCAAAATGATTTTTCTGTGAGTTGCGAAAAGTTACTGTTCTCGAGTACAACCGATACAAATTTGGATGCCATTTTCGGGCACAAAACAAACACACTGCAGACGCATGCAAATTTTTTGCCATATGTTTCTCTCGGAGTTGTTGCCTTCCAGACGAAATATCATGTGAATTAACGTTTAAGCTCATGCATTTGAAACAACGTCCCAGTCTATAATTTGTATCCAAGTAGTTCATAATGAATATATCACGGCTGTGTCGAGTGTTAAATTTAATTATGTGGATTCGCGTTCTACTGTTTTTGATTTTTTCATGGGTTTTGTTGGACTTGATGTTGATATTAGCATCGAAATGTAGCGGACCAAACATTTCAGCGATTGAATCTTCATCGAAACTGCATAACTCTGAACTCAAACCACTCATTAACGAACTTTTAAGGTAAATATCATAATGGCTGGTTTGACTCCGTATTTTAATAAATGCTCCAAAAAACATACATATCGTTAAAATACGAAGTCAAATCTAGGAGTAATTATAATTTATGTGGCGGTGCAATACCAATCCATAGCCACCGATATGAGGCCAAAATTTTCTACTATAGGGTATATAGAGGCCCCTTTCGTGAGGTTTCGACGAGCATTATCCACCAAAATGCTCAAATTGACCACAAAAATGAGCCAATATTATTGAAAAAAATGGAGAAAATCATACCAAATGTCAAAGATCTTAAGATATTCAATGCATTTAAGCAGGTTTGGGTGGTAAAATATAATGTGAGTGCTATGTTCTGGGGTGGTGACTAGCAAAATGGGCCATTTTCGACATATTTCACTATTTTGGTGGCGCCGTCTGGATTAGAGAGTGATATTTTTGCTATAACCAATGTGTCAAATTGATGGTAGAGGATCACAAAAATGATTCCAAATTCGGTTCGTTGCAAATGTATTGGATATTCACTGAAAAAATGCCGATAAACTTCAGTGTACGAATAATTTTGTGAGAGACCCAAAAAACGACACTACCTCATATTTGGTCCAATTTTTTTTTTATATGTCCACTATTTCTATCAAACAAATGGATGGATATCTGCTAAAACGGTCAGTTTTTAAGAATAATGTGCTCATACAATTCGATTGTCACGAACATTAGTGGACAATTGAGATTTTGTTCGGAAAAGCAACGTTAATTTTGTGAGTAACTGTATATTTCATAATCATGTTCTTTTCAACTTTTATTTACTCATTCAAATCAATCAGTTCTATATTATGACGTATTTTTTCACAATAAACGTGAACACCAAACATGAACATTTGGTTTTGTTCTTATTATTATGAATTCACAGTCGTTTGATTGTTTAATCTAAATAAAAAATATTTTTCTTTAATTGGAATCAATATGGGTTATTCGTATATTGTTTTTTTTAAAACACTCA